TTGTTGTTGTTGTTGTTGTTGTTGTTGTTGTTGTTGTTGTTGTTGTTGTTGTTGTAGCTGCTGTGGTTGTTGTTGTAGCTGCTGTGGTTGTTGTTGTTGTTGTTGTAGCTGCTGTGGTTGTTGTTGTAGCTGCTGTGGTTGTTGTTGTTGTTGTTGTAGCTGCTGTGGTTGTTGTTGTAGCTGCTGTGGTTGTTGTTGTTGTTGTTGTAGCTGCTGTGGTTGTTGAAATTGCTGCTGTGCATGATCTTCAACTAGGGGCTGTTGTATTGGTGAAAAACTTTGACGTTCAGTGCCGTTATAGCTTTGGGCAGTTCTTGGCTCCAGGAAACATTTTGATTCATCTAAGGGAAGAGTCCACATCAGTTGGTATTGCACGCCTAAGGGGATGGGTAAATTTTGTCCTAAATTATTTCGCAGCTGATTCATTTGGTTCGATGTCATACTCAAATCAGATGCCCCAATAAAAGAGTTGGACGTAACATACTCGTTACTGTAGACTTGAGGTATTATCTCTGCTTGTGTTGACACTTGAAGCAAGCTCTGTGCGTGATTCTGTTGTTGGGGAAGGACTCTATTTTGCTCCACTTGTAGTTTTTGTTGTTGCAGCTGCTGTTGAGAAGAAGCCACCAGTAGTATCGACTGAATATGTGATTGTGTAGAAGGACTTTTACTATTTGAAAGGAACTCCGCCTGTTGGCTTTGCAGATGTCTCAGGTCAAGGTATTGCAATTGTTTTTCATCCTGTATCAGGTTCGTTTGTTCATTGGAGCATGAAGGAGCCAATTGTTGAGTATATGTACCTTCCTTTGCCTGATCTCGATTTCCCATTATAATATTTGAAGAAGAGCACAACATTAATTTGTATAGTAGTTGAAGGTAAAATTTACATCTAGATCAATTGCAAAAATGAGGTTAAAGTTGCAAAAAAAATTCTTTTCTTTAAAAAAAAAAAAAAATGGGTACCATATACGCTTGTTTCCGCTTTAGTTGACTTCGAAGTTGAGTCAGTGGTAATCACTGAACTTTCACAAAGTCGAGAAAAGTGTAAGAAGCGGTTTGAAATTGGGATTGGAAAGGAATTGAAAGCTATAGGAGGCGATTAATTGAGTAAGGCCATTTAATGAGGTCTCTCTTGGTGATTTGTTTCCATAAATATGTTTTGTTTTTTTCTCTCCTTCTCTTTTGCAGTTATTTATCCGATGTGCTTTTCTTCCCTCTCTTTTTTCTATTTCAAATCTCTCTTTAGGGCCAAGTAATGCTCTGTTTAAATGAATGGGTGAAAAAGAAGCCCCCGGTGAACCAAAAAAACTAGGAGAAAAATAAAAAATTGATGAAGATCTATTCAAATTTTTATATATCAACAATTTCTCTTTTCATCCAAGTGCCTTTTCTCTGCAAAGCCTAAGATTGTATGTTTCTGTATATGTAAAAGAGGCTAATTATAACCCTACTCGATTACGCTACATAATTATTTTACATGTACAGACTAATTAGAATTGAAGATTAGTTTTTCGTGGTGAGCATTTTCCACTGATTGAGTAACAGAGAAACGTAATGTGAGTTTAAAAAAAAAAAAAAAAAAAAAGAATAGTGTTAAAACACACAAATAGAATACTAATTAAAGAAAAAGCCCCCCTAAAAAAATAACTCTACTTTCTTGCAAATTAAACATAGCTTTTTGTTCTATGCAGATAATAATGAAAAAGAGAATGAAAAGGGCAGAAAAGATGTACTATCTTGATGAAAAGGAAGAAGAAATAGTGGAATGAACAATAGGAAGGTTTCACTTGTCATATTCAATTAATTGTGAAGTAGAACCAAAAGATTTTTGTGACTATCAACGCTTAATTTTTCTCGTCTATAAATCAAAAAAAATTTCTCTTTTTAAAAGTAGAGCATATAAGAGCATATGTGGCAAACAATGATAAAACCAAATTCTGATGGAACAACATCAACCCAACAAGTTAAATTATTCTATCCCTCCTCTGTTTAAACTCGGTCTTTTTTTTCTCTTAACAAATCAATAGGTCCCAACGTCTTTTTATTGAAGATATATATTTCCTTTCTTTAAATTCTTTTTTCGTTTTTTTACCTTATATTTTCTTCTTTAGCTAAGTAGCCAAATTTTAATTCTTTTTTTGCAGCAATTGATTTTTGTATGAAAAACAAAAAAAAAAGAGCTTGTTGGGGCGAGACCATGCATTAGATACCTCTCGTGAATATCAATTTTTAGAGTGCCTCTAAAATCCGGCTTTTTATAACTTTTATGTAAAATCTGGAGAATGTCTTTCTACGCTCTTCTTTTCTTCTTCTTCTTTTTCTTCTTCTTCCACTGCTGAGAGAATATATTTACCAACTCGTTCTTTGTTTTCTAATAGAGCCAAAAAAAAAAATATGAAAATGCACAAAAGCAAAGTAGCGTATCTGTAATATCAATTTGAAGTCAAACGCAAATGATAGTTTTATTCTTTTTGTTTGTATTGTTTTGTTTTCTTTCTATGGGAGGGGAGGGGAGGAGAGGGGGCGGGGGAAGAAGTTGGGACCTTGCCTGTAAAAATAGAATACTTAACTTTGTAATTGAAAAAGGTACTCCAAAATATAGACAATCTTGTAACCTATCCTTTTATTATTTTTTTTGCTATTCTAGTGTGGATGTGCTTCATGAAGATAGTTTTGTAACGATGGTTATGATATGTTCAAGAATCTGAGAACTGGATAATTAGTGGTAGTAGTTGTGATATAGTTGGCACCAAGTCAAGTAACATCTCACAGAAAATGATTTTTTCTTTTTTACTCTTTTCTCCAACAAAATAACTTTGTGTTTTGATACCTGGTAAAAAAAAAAAGGATCAGTGATTAGCCAACTAATATCACATATGTGTCAATTAAAATTAAAGACTACATTAGTGCCAATTACAAAAATTACATTAGTGCCAATTACAAAAATTAGTGTAATGAATGGTTCAAATGCCATAGAAAACAATGCTAGATCAAGGCCACGAACCATTATCAAACTAAATACGCACACACATGTTTATTAGCAATATTTTAACTAAATATCCCCATCTCTCCATCTCTCCATCACTCTAATTCACTCTTTCCTTTTCCCACCTTATTCTTTGATGCATGACTAATAAGCGTTGCTCTCTGGATATTGTATATTTATGTCTTTTTTCCCTGTTTTCTCTTTCATAAATCTCTTACAGAGTAAAGAAAAAAAGGTTGACGGCTACTTCGGCATATTATTCAAGCCCCCTTTGCTCTCTTCATTCCTGAGAAGAATGAATGAAGATTGCAAATGAACTCAAATTTTGATTACTGACTAGATCCTGTTGCTTTTACTGATAAGGAAAGCCCATTGCTGCAATTAAGAATGATTTCCCTTAAAGTATATACACATCTTTAGATTTCTTTCAAGAGTTAACTATCAACCCGATAGCCTATGGTATTGTTAGAATATGGCAGGTAATCGATCAATGAGAAAAAAAACAAAAAAACGCAGGGCTTGATTACTGTCAGAGCGGTATCGCATTCATAATATGAAAAGATTGTTCATATGTTCTTCTGTTCTTGATAAGAAAAGAGGGGGAGGGGGTGCCAAATATATTTTGCGATGCAATCCAACACAAACGTTCCCAAACTGTAACTACTTCGTTTCAACATATGTAGATATAGAGGCAAATTCTTGCATGCCGACCCGCCTTATGTATATACACAAGCATGCAAAAGAATATGGAAAGAGAATGTCAGATAATAAAATCCATGACTGTTGATTTGTTTTCACTTGTCCTATTCTTTTGTGTAGTAAAATAATAAAAGGAAATTGGGGACACATGATGGGTAAACCAAACCTACCTTTCTTTTTGAGTAAAAGAACAATAGTTATGAAAAGCGACCAATCCTGGACAAGGAAAAAAAAAAAAAAAAAAACCATTAGGGGAGAGATGCGGGAGGAAAAGCCTTGGATACGATAAGGTCATTTTATTGTTTCAGGTTGAAAATAAATTTGATTATTGTTAAATAAATGTAGAGATGCTGGACTCATAATCTTGGATACAATATGTCTTTATTTGATAATATTTATGGACCTATCCCATCCATTGATTGTTTCATTCTATTTTAAGAAGAAAGACCAATCAATACTTATATTTTGTATATACATTTGTATTTTTGGTAAACAATAGTTGCACATTAATGAAATAGCGAAAAATAAAAATACGAAAAACTGAAAAAAAAAAAGTTAAGAAAATAGGATTTATTTGTCCTATTTTAAAAACATGTTCTTTGCTGCCTCAAAATGTCATTTTAGTAATATGCTTGAGCTAATACAATTTGTTTTGAGATACATGATAAAAATATTCTTACAAAATTCTCTTTTTTCCCTTTATAAAGCCTACAAAATGGTTGAATAGTGTTTAACTTGCTTTATTTGAGAGTTAGCATTCAAATACATATTCAACAAGTCAGAAAAAAAAAGTGAAGAAAGCTTTGTTTTCTCTTGTCTTCTACCACACTCTCACATATGTTTGAAGAATAATCACAGAGGTTGTGTACGCAAACCGCAAGAATATAAACTATCATTGGGAAACATATCAAAAGCAGATGTGGCGTAAAAAAAGAGTCTTTCACTAGTGAGAGAACTTTTCAATATGTCTAGCTTTTACCAATTGATTCCAATTTGAATTTGTTTCTAGACAAACTTTTCCATTTTTGCTAAACAATGCTACTTTACACCATGATTTACTTCATGAGTAAAAAAAAAGTCAGGTCTTTTTACATCTTTTTTGTTTCACCCAACCCTACTTCCCCTCCCCATGTCAATCATCTGCTCTATGTTTGTTGCGATACAACTTTAACGGTTTGCAAAATCCCTTTGATGACTAACCAATGTATTTTTTTTTTTACTAGCCATTCTTTGTCGTCTAACCTGGAATACATCTTATCTGGTAGAAAGTATGTTACATACATTAAAGTACACCTGGTCCATATCGGATTTAGGACTTAGTCAGGACAAACAATCTTACAGAAGACGGAGGATAGTCCTGTAATAGCATAATTTGGCTACTAGAAGGAAAACTTTTAATCTTTTCTTACTAATTCTCTCTAAAAGAACATCTCCTTTTTATTTTCCTCCTTTTTATTATCCTCCTTTTTATTATCCTCCTTTTTATTATCCTCCTTTTAATTATCCTCCTTTTAATTATCCTCCTTTTTTTTATTCAGATGAACTCACCTAGTCTTAAAAATAAACTCTTTATTTTTCCTTGTCCAAGGGTATATGTGGAAAATGGAGGTGAAATTTGTTTAGTGTACTAGTGGGCGCACCAAACCCCATGTTGATTGATTTAAATCCTAGATCATGCAAAATATGATACACACACCGCTATTAGATTTGGATGCATATTTGAAACATGAGATTGGCGTGCGCCTTCTATGAATACTTAACCGTATCTATCCTATACACTAGATTATGGAAAAGATATATTTCAAAGTAATAGGTCTGTTCAGATATTGTCTCAAACACACTACCTAAAAATTTAGCTCTTGTTTTTACTTTCTGCAAAGAAAAACCAAAACAGAAAAATATCTTGTATAATTTTTTTATTTTTTTAAATAAATAATGCTAGACTAAATATGAGTGAGCCAATTAGCTAGTAATTCTGAGACGACAATACAACATAGAAAGGAATACAACATAGAAAACAATTTATACAATAGCGAATCATTTTTTATGGGAATAAGCTGAACTCAAAATAACTCAAAAAGTTTGCTCATCGAAAATTGTCCAAGTGGGCTAATTTAGTATGATAAGCAAGCACAGTCACGATAGTAGTTTTTTATTCTAATGCCCGCAAATACTGGACAAAAACGTAATGATTATTATATATTACGATATCTATAAAACCGTACTACTTTGATGTCTTTTAATGCATCATCAAGCAATCTTTTTCTCAACACTTTACTCAACACTAGTCATTTCTTTTGTAATCTATACCTAGATACACTGATAGTTCCCTTTATCCCCCCCCCCTCCCCCTTCACAACCATGTAAGAAAATCGTATCATTAGCGATATGAAAAAGAAAGAAAGAAAATAAATGAAGCGTTAGAATCCACTACCGTCAATATCTAAACACCGCTTAGCCACTAAAGATCTCTGGAAGCACGCCAAATAGGGAAGCTTGAACAAAATTCATTATCCAATAGCAAGCTCGTCCTTCTTTTTAACAAGTCATCCTTCTCTTGAAACAAGCCATCCTTCTCTTAAAACAAGCCTTCTTTTTCCTTGAGCAAGCTCTCTTTCTTTATATTGACGGTGACTACACTATTGTTAGCTTTTTTTTTTTTTATCTTGCCTATAACAACAACCCCAGCCCACGCATAAACACGTAAGCCTACAGGTACACGTAAGTGAGCACCAGCGCCATTTTTTTTATTTTTTTTAGTTAAGAAAGTTTTGAGAAGGTAACCAGCATCGTCAAGAATGGTGCTAAAAAAAAATAATAATAAATAAGGTTGCAAAGTATTACACAAAACGCGATTAAAAAATTAACAAGGCTATTTTTTATTACCAATACAATACAACTAAAGTTTATAGATCACCCAATCCAAGAAAACAAAGCTTAAAACTTTTGGATGAAACGATATCAACACAATCCTCCTTTTATTAGCTAATTAATCACCACATGAATTGCACCACAAAATGGCTGTGTTTTTTTTTTGGTTTTTTTGGTTTTTATTTCAACCCTTCTGTTCATCTTTTTTTCACTTTTTTCTTCCTTCCAAAGATCAACGTCAAAAGAACAGCTTACTAACTCACCTCAAGTCATTCCTTTATATCAAATACTTACAGATAAGTTAATAACTGCTATCAGCTATCCAAACTATTACTACTACTAGTATTTCTATTATTATTACTACTTTCATTACTATTACTATCGCAGTTCAAGCGAAAAAGACAAATGAAGTTTACTCAAGCTACTATATTGGCTTTTGCCGCATTGGCAATTGCTATTCCAGCAAGTAACAACAAAATGAAGAAGAACTTGGCCAAGAGAGAACTGGATTGTGACGAGCCAGTTTTCCATGGTCATCATAAACACAAAAGAGCCGTTGTCTACGACTATGCTTATGTTACTGTTACTGTTGATGCAAAGGGAAATCCAGTTACTACCCTCGAGCCAGTTGCCTCGCCTCTATCCACTTCCAATGCTCAAAATCCAGATACCTCAATTTACGTTTCTTCAACCACTACTATCGTTCAAAATGATTCATTAACTTCTAATGAACCTTCAGCTATACCTTTACCACAAAGTTCCGATTCTCCTTCTGCTTCTCCTTCTGCTTCTCCTTCAGAACCACCCTCAAGTGGTGGGTCTAATGGTATTTATGGAGACTTGAAAAATTTCCAAAAACCAACAAAGGAGTTCCCAGATGGTGTTTATTCATGTGACACCTTCCCTGTTGGACAAGGTGTTATTGCCTTGGACCAATTAGGATTCGGTGGATGGTCAGGTATTTACAATACTGATACTTCTACTGGAGGTACCTGTAGAGAAGGCTCGTACTGTTCTTACGCTTGTCAAACCGGTATGTCAAAGACACAATGGCCAGATGATCAACCTGCAAATGGTGTTTCAGTTGGTGGTTTATTATGTAAGAATGGTAAATTGTACAAGACCAACTCAAGATCAAAGTACCTTTGTGAGTGGGGTGTCGACATGGCAGATGTCGTCAGTGAATTAAGTCAAAGCGTTGCTATTTGTAGAACTGATTACCCAGGCACTGAAAATATGGTTATTCCAACAGTTGTTGAGCCAGGCAAATCATCAGTTCTCACCGTTGTTGACCAAGGTACTTACTATACTTGGAGAGGCGGTGCTACCTCTGCTCAATACTACGTCAACAATGCCGGTGTTTCGTATGAAGATGGATGTTTGTGGGGAACACCAGGCTCAGGTGTTGGAAACTGGGCTCCTTTGAACTTTGGAGCAGGTTATGCCAATAACATTGCTTACTTGTCCTTGATCCCCAACCCTAACAACCGTGATCCATTAAACTTTAATGTCAAGATTGTTGCTGCTACTGATGTTCCTTCATCAGTCAGTGGATCTTGTGTTTACGAAAATGGACGTTACAACGGTTATGGTGTTGATGGATGTACTGTGGGTGTAACTAAAGGAAAAGGTGTGTACGTGTTATATAATTAGGTAGACTCTTTTCAAAGATACTAAAATGAAGATTTTTTGTTAAACATTGACCCATTTTCGACACCTCCTTTAACGACACTATTGAGCGGAGTGAGATAGTGGAGCAACACTCAGTAGCTTGTTAATCCATTTTCGACACCTCCTTTAACGACACTATTGAGCGGAGCGAGATAGTGGAGCAACACTCAGTAGCTTGTTAATCCATTTTCGACACATTCTCTTTAGTGTGATATTTTCGGCACCTCCTCTCTACTAGGATAAAACTTTTGAATTTAACAGTATTTATTAAAAGTGTAGTATACTCGAAAACATACTTACAAGAGTTATGCATTACTAGTGGCGGTTACCATTATTTAGATTCCTCATTACTTGCTCCTTCTCCTTTCTTCAATAATGCTTCAATTTTTGATGCGATACTACTTGGTTTAGCAAAGGAGTTGAATCTTTCAACAACATGGCCATCTTGATCGATTAAAAACTTTTCAAAGTTCCATTTAATCCTAGTTAAACCTAAAAATCCAGATTTTTGACTCTTCAACCATTGATAAACAGGATCTGCATTGTCTCCGTTTACATTAATTTTACCCAAAACAGGGAAAGTTACACCATAATTTAATTTACAAAATTCACCAATTTGTTCGTTAGATCCTGGTTCCTGATTACCAAATTGATTACATGGGAAACCTATAATTTGGACTGGTTGATCTGCAAATTTTTTATTCAACTCTTCCAAACCCTCATATTGAGGTGTAAAACCACATTTAGAAGCAACATTGACAATCAAAACAACTTTACCTTTCAATTGAGAGAATGGGAAATCTTCTCCCTTTGAATCCTTTGGTGTTAAGTCATAGAAAGAAGACATTACTTAATCCGATTACTTAATTAGGAAATATAATTGAATTGAAGGGGGGGGGAAAAAAAAAATTACAAGTAACAGTTTCTTTTAAAGAATTTCTTCAAGAGAGAACTGATTGAATTGCTGGTATTTATATAAAATTGATCCAACTATTAATGTATAGTCATTTTTTGCAATGAAAAACTTTGATTAGTTAAGGAGCAAAAATAAAAAAAAAAGAAAAGGACAAGTGAATATAGCCGCACACTTGACATTAATATACGCATATGAAATCAGAACTATTTTAATGGGGAAAAGTTACAGGGGCAACTCAATCTATCGAGGGAGCCGAAATAGTGGAACACACTGACTACACCTATACACTACACCTATACACTACATCTAAGCACTACACCTCTACACTACACCTCTACACTACACCTAATACTACACCTCTACATTCTAACGTCTACACCTCACTACCTAATACTAATACACTTCTACTCAACTACAATTCAAATTCGGCGCATTCTTCATTCTAGCAATTCAAAGTACTATCGAGCGGAGCGAGATACTCTGAATTGGAAACCTCTAGCAAAGTGTCCTTTTTTCTACCTTTACCTTTTCTTTACCTTTACCTTTTCTTTCCCCCCTCCATTTGTTTCTCTTTGGCTCTTTATTCTACTATACTAGAGGTATAAAAACAGATCTCGCTTGGCTCTATAGTGACCCCTGAATGCTGGTATGATTGCATCCTTACACACGGATTTGACTTATACAACGTCTTGTTTTGAAAAATCTTATTTCGATGGGTCTCGCTTCGCTCGATAGTGTGGGTGACAGCTAGTGTCGATAGCAGCTAGTGTTGCTCCACTATCTCGCTTCGCTCGATAGTGTCGGCTTTTATTTATACAAATTCTACTACATAATATTGTTGCTTCCCAATTCTCATCAACATCAATTTTTCATCAATCAAATGGTGGGTCTTATCAAACAATACTACATCGTCTGGATCTTCAAATTGATTTCTATCCAATCCCAAGTATACACCACCAGATCTAATCAACGTCTTTACTTCCCTCCTTGACTTGCCTGTAATTTCAGCAATTAATGTGCTCATCTTTATATCGTTGCATCTTGCCAAGGGAAACTTGTATAAAATACCCGATCTCTTAAAGTTCTCAATCATTTTGTCTGCATCGATATCGTCACTAAATGGTTGGTCCGGTGTTGGGAATAAAAATCCAGTTATATATGCCATTTCATCTCCCACGCCAACTCCATGTATCAAATCAACAACCTCTCTCGCCAAAACTCTCTGCGCAATGCGTAAGCCGGAATCAGCAAGATGTCGAGGCATCAATTCTCCTTCTATAACATTTAAGGGTAATAAGGTGAAAACCTTTAATAGTTTCTCAACCATGTCATCCGATACATTGATAAAATACTGATACATCTGATATGCACTGGTCAACTGTGCATCAATGAAAATGGCATTGCCTGCAGATTTACCAAACTTGTCACCAGAAGGTGTTGTTAAAAGAGGAACCGTGATCCCATAAGCCTCCCTACTATTGTTGTCATCCTCTTGTTTTTTCAACCTCGAAATAATATCAATTCCAGCGGTGATATTACCCCATTGGTCGTTACCACCTACTTGAATATCAACATTCTCGGTTTTATGCAAATGGTAAAAGTCATACGCTTGTAGTATTTGATACGTAAACTCATTAAACCCAATACCACCACCACTCTCTAATCGTGACAGTATTGAATCTCTTGCCAACATAGCATTTACACGGATATGTTTACCATAAGTTGCCAAAAAATTCAACATTTTTATATCCTTCCACCAGGCCTCATTATTGACACTAAAGGTTGTACCAATATTATTCTCATTCATTGGGAATTGCCTCGACTTGGCATATTCTATCCCATTCGACAAAAAGGTTGTTATTTGGCTTTCAATACGCGAAACGTTGCTCACAACATCGCTTATATTCAAGTTGGTCCTCTCAGAACTTCTTCCACTTGGATCTCCTACTTGCCCAGTTGCACCACCCACTAGTCCAAAAACATCATTTCCGCACATCTTAAAGTGTAGTAGTACCATGAGTGGAAGAAGATTACCCAAGTGTAAGCTCTGTGCAGTTGGGTCAGCACCGCAGTACAACCTAAACTTGTGATTATTCTTACGCTTTGTGATGTCAAACAATTTATCATCCGTTAACGACTCAATGAGATGTCTAGATTGTAAGTAACTAACTAATGAAGTCTCGGGATTTGTTTCAGGTGTAACATCTTTATCTTGCGTTAGCTCGTATACTGTTGGAATTATTGTCACGGGATCCCTCGCCATTGGTTTCATACTAGTGGAGTTGAGCCTTGCAAAGCAAAGCCATTGAACTCTTCCCAAATAGCGGGCCATTGCAATATGAATAATGGGATTATTACTATTTGAAATTTTTCACTCTATTCATGTAATATCTTTTTTCTTCTCTTACTTATATATATGTATTTTTTTTTTTTTGCATCTTATTTAATGGCATCTCTATAACATCATCATGAAATTGGAAGATAGCCGTTCCAATGAAGGTGTATCGAGGAAGAGGAAAAGAAAAAGAAATAAGACGGGTGGCGAAGAAACAAACGGAAATGTTTTAGATAAGGAAAAAGAGGTAGAGTTGGTGAAATCTAGGAGAAACAAGCAAATTAAATTTAGCGATGATGTTGATGTTGATGTTGATGATGTTGCTGGTGCTGGTGATGGTGCTGGTGATGGTGATGGTGAGACGAAAGCGGTAGCGGAGCCAGATAGTTGCGACACAACTACTGACAAAAATGTTATAGTTGCCAAATTTCAAAAAGTATATCTGAATCTGAGTTCATTTGCAAAAAACCGGCATCATCATCAGAAGAAGAAGCCGTTTAAGATTGTCAAATATACCGAGGAATCAGAAGAATCTGACTCTGATGCAAATAACAAGTTCGATTTCCAACAAAGCAACTTGCAATTACTGGAAAGAGCCGCATCTCTACTCACCATACGACAGAAACTTCCCATTTTCCAACATAAAGACGAAATTATGAAATTCATTCTGCAAAATCAAGTAACGATAATTGTTGGTGAGACGGGTTCAGGAAAATCAACCCAAGTGCCCCAGTTCCTCATACCTAAGAATTCTAAAACTATCGCTGTCACGCAACCAAGAAGAGTTGCTGCAGCTTCGTTGGCTGCAAGAGTAAGCGATGAATATGGATGCAAGTTGGGTTCGGAGGTGGGGTACCAGGTCAGATTCACCAACGTGAGTAATGACAAAACTAAGTTGAAATACCTTACTGACGGTATGCTATTACGAGAGATAATGCTAGACCGTGACTTGAATAGATATACTACTATAATTATAGATGAAGCTCATGAAAGAACTATTTTAACTGATTTAATTATGGGATTTCTAAAGTCATTAGTATTGTCAGGGAGGCGCAAAGACTTGAAAATTGTCATAATGTCTGCCACTTTAGATGCAGAGCTTTTCAGCAATTTCTTTTCCGATGCACCAATCCTATACGTGGAAGGGAAAATGTTCCCTGTAACACAGATGTATATAAATAGCGAAGGCGTTGAAGACGTCGTGGATTGTATGATACGATCGATCATTAAAGTGAATTTGACTGAACCAGAAGGTGATATCCTATGTTTCTTAGCGGGGCAAGAGGAAATTGACAATTGTGTAAAGACATTAGACCAGATTGCGCCTCAGCTCCCACGAGAAGCGCCCTTGATTGTTGCTTTGCCCTTGTATGCGGCATTATCACCTAGCCATCAACTGAGAGTTTTTGCAAATCTTCCAAAGGGACGAAGAAAAGTGATTCTCGCTACGAATATTGCAGAAACTTCCATCACTGTTCCTGGTGTAAAATATGTAATCGATTCGGGATTGCGCAAGGTTAAACTATGGAAGCACGCTTTGGGATTGTCTACGTTGCTAACGACTCCAATCTCACAAGCTTCAGCAAAACAGAGGGCAGGTAGAGCAGGAAGAGAAAGCGCGGGGAAAGTGTTTCGGTTGTATAAAGAGTCAGAATATCAAAAACTTCCCAAACAGCAGGAGTCAGAAATACAGAGAAACGATATAATTTTACCAGTACTAACATTGAAAAAAATGGGTATAGATGACTTGTTGAATTGGACTTGGTTGGAAAACCCAGGACAAGAATCTATCTTGAGTGCTTTGAATACTTTATACACTCTAGGTGCATTGAGTGATGTTGGAAAGATTACCACTTTGGGGTTGAAAATGAGTGTTTTGCCGTTGCCCCCACAATTGTCGGTAGTAATGATAACTGCTTTTGAGATGGGCTGTATATCAGCCGTAATAGACATTGTTTCTTGTCTTTCTGTGGACAATTTAATTCTCAACGTTACTGGTGAGGCTAGGGATGAGATGAATTTCAAAAGAAGATCATACTGCCCCAAGGGAAATACTTATGGAGACTTGATTGCACTATATGAACTCTTTAAAAATTATAAATCTCTAGGAAAGGAATGGTGTCAAGAGTTGATGCTCAATTACAAAGGGTTTAGAAACGTAGAAAAGATCAAAAGCCAACTTGAAGAGTATATGCTTGCCATGATCAAGCAGGATGAATTATTATCGAATGAAGATAAAGACAAGAGATTAACATCATTAAGAGCGCAACTAGATGATGATGATGATGATGATGATGATGGTGGTGGTGGTGATAGAGAAGAGAAACTATTGGATGTAACAGCAATATTGAAGTCGTTCCTTAAAGGTTTCATTACAAATACTGCAGTGGGTATGCCTGATAGATCCTTTAGGACTCTCAATACTGGACAACTAATCAGCATTCACCCTTCATCCCTCTTATTTGGCAAGCCAAACTTAGATGCTATCATGTACATTGAGTATGTGTTTACTACCAAAAGTTACGCACGTAACTGTTCGGCCATCGAGTTATCATGGATACAAGAAGTTGCTCCACATGTTATCAGTGGTAACAAAATTAGTATTAATGAAGAATAAATATAGATGTTCAATTGTTTTATTTTTTTCAATACTCACATACGCTCTTAATTGCACTAACAACTTTATCAAACACTTTGTTATTACCTGCTATCACTCCTATCGAGGGTAATTGTCTCCCCTTTCCAAAGTCCAATGGTTCTCCATATACATCTCCGACTTTCCCTCCTGCCTCAGAAACTAAAATGTTTCCTGCAGCATGGTCCCATATTTTTTCTCTATAGGTGTTGTTTATAGGTAACCTCAAATATATATCGGCTTGCCCGCTTGCGAGGACGCAATACTTTACCTGTGAGTCTAAATTTATGGTTTGTTCAACAACTGTTTGTGGATTGAAACCAATTTTTGCCTTGATATTTGCTTGTGTGGAGTGGGATGAGTGTCCCTTTTCAACGCCTTCTACAACTTTCAACTCATCTGGACTGTCACGTTGAGTCATTTCGATCTTTTCCTGCTTCTCTAAGCTCTCAAATCCCGGTGTAAACAAGGGTGAATAAAAGGAGCCGATATTTTTAATGGAGGAATATAATCCGCCCACAGGTCCAAAATGCTTGGTGTTTGACTCGATATGCTTTGGTAAATTTGGACATCCAATGACTCCAAGAACAACTTTTCCATCCTCAACCAAAGCTAGACATACGGCAAACTGGTCACCTCTTAAGAAACCCTTTGTTCCGTCGATAGGGTCCAATGCCCAGAACCGTCCCTTTGAACCTCCCTTGGAGTTTCCCAAATCAATGCTTTCCAAAACAGATTCTAAATCCTTCAAGTGTCCAATTGCGTTATCATAATCACTCGTTTCCAATTGAGCCTTTTCGATCAACTCGAATACTTGCTTGGCCAACTTTCCATTTTCTTTCAAATCGCGAGAATCCTCCTCGCCAACAATTTCATCATGGGGGAAGTTTACATATAAAGCATGGTTTATTATGGCCTGACTTGCAAAATCCCCGATAGTCACTGGAGAGCTGTCTTCTTTAGTCAAAGTTCCTAATCTCGCCTGGGAGATAGAATCACTCAATTGCTTTGTCAAGACTGAAGCTCTTTTCACTGCTAATGTAGCAACTTCAAGCTCCCTTGAATATTTATGAATTCCCGACATTTGAACTGGAAATGAGACTTTTCTAACTAGTCTATATATACTTACTGAACAGAAAAGGACAAGAAGGGATACAACAAGTTGTCCTTTCTTCATCACCTTTTTTACTCCTCTACTTATTGGAAAAAGTGAAAAATTATTGCTACTAAGCGGTTAAATAGTATTATATAAGCAGAATGTAGTGGATTATGTAACGATAAGCCGCATTATTTTTTTTTTATCTTTTCGGGAAAATAAGAAAATGAAGAAGGGGAAGAGTAAGGCCATGCTTTCTAGGAGGACATTCACGACTTTATCCATTCATATTCCAGTAGGATAAAGCTTTATATTTACCTTGGTGGAAAGAATATTGTTTTATTTTCCTTTTTTTTTTGTGTGTTGCAGGTGGAGTGATTTTTTCTTGCTATGTATAAGGCTTTGTTAGCTTTACTTACACTATGCTTTATATGCTGGATAATACAACTACTACCAGTTATTTCGGTACCTTTGACGTCGCCAAGTGCCAATATCTATTTGTCGAGTTTTAGCAACTACACTTTTGGCGTTTTTGGAATATGCGACGAGCGGACTGATATGTGCAGTGACCCCAAGATAGGGTACCCTTCGACAAATAGTAGTTTTTACACTTTTATTGATAGCGAGAGTTTTGGACAAGGTGGTGCGGTGCTACCTTCAAATGTACAATACACCATCTCAAAATTATTGGTTGTGCATGTTGTTGGATTCTGTTTTTCAAGCTTATTGTTAGTTGTCATTTTTTGGTTGTTTGTATTAGAAAGCGTTGATCGCTGGAGGTTTAACAAAAGGATGACAAAGTATGAGAATGCCCAACGTCTACGGAAAGAAGCGCATGAATTTGACAATGCTGATGAAGTCTTTAACGGCAATAACGGTAATGTCAATAACAACATTAACAGCAATGAAAACAGCAATGAAAACAGCAATGAAAACAGCAAAGATAGCAATAGCAATAGCAACGACGATAACGACGATAACGCCAAAGACATTGAGAATGAAGATGCCCCTTCAAGGAAGAAACGAGATTTAACACCGTACATGAACATGATGTTGATATTAACAATTTTCTCCGTCCTAACCACCCTTTTGGCATTCTTAATTGATATACTACTTTTCACTCCAAATCTTACCTACCTTGGGTGGATTCAATTGATACCAATTGTTTCAATGGCATTAACAACCTCCATGCTTTGCTTCATAAAAAGATCAATATCCAACAGGAAATTCTTTGAAAGCTACGACAACCAGTACGACAATGATGAAATGAAGCTATTGAGGAAACGCGGTGTAGACCATTCCTGGAATGACGATTCCAGTGATGACGGATTTGTCGTTTATACAGATGGTTTCTATACTAGAAAAGAAGGAGACGTGAGCCATGAAAGAATTTTTTCAGCAAACTTCCCGGGTAGCCGAGAGGCACAGAGAAATGCCCATACTCATGAAGATAGTAGTTATGTGTCTTCCGTTGATTCCAATCCCTTTTCAATGGAAATGGAAAACTTACGATGAGTGAGAAAAATCAACAACAACGACAACAACAACAATCTTATATTCTGTATACATGTAATAAAATTATATTAGTTGACTTAATGCAGCTACAATGCGCGGACTATTATCATATTTTGAAGCGATTGCCTGGAAAAGATCATTGCTCAATTTTATGTCGCTGGTTTTCAAGACTTTTAAAAACTGAGATATGTACAAGGATGTGCAGGCACCTAACTCTTCAATCTTTTTGTATATAGAAGTTTGTTCTTGGGCGAGTAAGCCTGGATACCGTTTTAAAAAAATAACAAGTTTATTGACCTCGTTTATGTTGGTGATTGTATGTAAAACTGCTGCAAAAAAATTTGAACCTGGTTGTCGATGAAACAAAACAGGTTTAAGGAAAGTCAACTCTCTTAAGGTTTGATCCCGACTTAAACTCCCGAGACTCTTTATAAACTTTTCAACTGCCATTTCGCTGGGACATACCAGATCATCAATCATATATTTCATCATTCGTGCACTCAATTTGGGGTCTAATTCTGTAACTGCAAGCGCAATGTTGTTCAATGTGCGCAGATCCAAAATAGAAATCACCTTTTTATGTTGTGCATCAATAGCTTCTACCAATGTCTTTAACTCAGCGGCTCCAGCGTTGAGTTCAATACTCAACTTGCTCACGCGTGAAAGAAAATGTTTTAATCCTTCTATCCTGAAATAGCCAATGTTTGGTATAATAAAGTTTAAAAATTCCAAAAAAGAAGACTTTGAATCTCCTATACAATCAAGAACCACGTTCGATGCATCTTCAACAGTGAATGCTTCACGTAGTTCCAATAAAGAAGTTCCTCCATTGCTATTAAGATCTGAGTTACGAAAAGCTCTTGTGTCGATAAAAAACTCTTCAAACTTGTGATGATGAGAATCGGTAAATAATTTGTGGAATTTTGAGTCCAAACGGGGTTTTTCTGTCTTTTGAACTGGCTCCAAATCTTGGAGCGGTTTGATCTGCTGATTGTATACCTTTTTCCAGCCAAACAAAATGCTCGCGTATGGGAAAATAGTAGGCTCAGCTTTGGGCTCAAGCTCATTGATCTCACTTTTCGTATTTAGGCTCTTGATTCGGTACGAGGTGTCTCCGTATAAAGTCCGGCTCCTGGAGAGTGATGAAACCAAGACGTCATTGGTATTAAGTTTGGTGACAAGGTCAGCAACATCCTCTGGATTTATAATCCTATAATGTGCTTTAGAAATTGATGAAAAATCTGGTTTATCAGGAACAGCTGCATAGTTTTCCTCAGGTGTGAGTTTTTCTTCTTCAAAAATGTGACGGGCTTGGTTAGCTGTAGGGGTAAAAGTTATAGGCAGAAAACCTGTAGACTTTGTTCGTATAGAATGTCGTACAAGGTACTTGCCCCGAAGCATTGTTTTACACCAATGAATATTTTCAATACTATGAAAGGGTCCATAAAAAATGAATTTTTCAAAAACCGTTCGCATTGATTTCTTTTTTTTTTTTCCTTTTTTTTTTCTTCTCTTGTTCTTCATGGAGTAATTGTTAACCACATATGAGCTCCTTTCATGATCAAAACAAGGTCTTACATTAAGGGACTGTAGTTTCATGAGAAGCCTTGTTATTTTGCTCTTTTGCTCTTTTGCTGTTTCTTTTTTTCTTATTTTACAACTTGAACTGCGTCAAACTTTCACACATATATCTACGTGGATAGATGTATGTTTCAGCATTGTTTCATATCGTATTTCGTTACCTCTGAAAGAGTTCAAGGGCGCGGCCATCACTGGTATATACGTATATCACGCCCTCAGATCTCTTTCTCTGTTAGAAAGCGCAGTTACCGATGCTATATTCTAACGTGTTGTTGTTGTCGTTGTCGTTGTCGTTTTTGTTGTTATTCTCTAAGTTTGTCTTTGCTATGGAGCTCCAGCTTTCTCAACCAAATGCATTTACTCAATTGTACGGGTGGAAAGATGATTGTAGCCAAAAAGCCTTAGAAGCTGTGATACCACAGTGTACACGAGGGGTGGAGAATATATCACCAGAGCAGCAAAAGCTAGTTGCAATGGAACTTTCTATATGTGAATTTGAAAATAATGGTATACAATACCCACTTGAGTGCTATGAGGAAGTAAGAAAGATCCAAATAGGCGGATGTATCAGAGCATTGGAAAAATCCCCTCAATTCTGGACTAGTTTCAGCGGTAACTATAGAAACGTAAAAGAAGTTTGTCACCAGGTAAGCCTACCGTACGAAAAGTCCCAGATTATTGAAGTTTATGAGAATGTAACTGCAATTTACCAATCCTTGGTGCGTGACTTGAAAGCATCGCATAGTCATAGCGAACAAGTGCAAGACCAGCTAGAGAAAAAGTTTGCAGAGATATTTCTGGTTATCGATAGCCTCTTGATGGATAATATGATGAGAAAGGAAGAGATGAATTCAACTTTTCTGCAGTTTCATGAAAACTTTGAAGCTACCATGAACAATGCCTTGGTTATCATCACAAACTCGTACCAAGGCGTTAATACAAACATTCAAGAGATGGAACTGCATTTAAACTATTTTACTCTGGAATTGCGAGACATCACAAGTTTACTACTGCAACAAAGAAACGAATTGAACCTGCAACAAGAAGCTTTGATAAAAAATAATCAGCATTTGTTGTTTCAGCAAAACGAGCTCGTTGCTATGGCCAAAATCCATGCACAAGACATTCATCACCTGACTCAACAACATGCGCTCTCGCTACATAAGCAGTTACAGTATTCAGAGTTTACTTTACAATCAATTGATGCAATCTTGAACCAAAATGTCAATGGCTTGTATTTGCAGAGAACACAAATCATTGAACAAACTTCTTATATCATGGACCATTTTGCAAAATCTTTGTCAGAGTATTTGAACCTATCTGCTCAAAGCTCAATCTGGACTTTTGAAAATACATTGCAAACCTCTCTAGAAAACCTAGAAACAAAAATCAACCAAACAACGGAATCATTGGCCGTGATGAATGCAACTTTGTATGCATGTACATCCTTTGTTGTTCAATCAGCAAAATTTTTCACAAACTTTCATTTTAAAAATGCTCTGCTAGAAATAAGCGCATGGATTTGGAGGAAATTGAATTTTTTCCATAATGGATTTACATTTATCTACAAACTACTCATTGTAACTATATTGTGTATCTTGTTGATAACTATGAGACCTTTTGTCAATGTTTTTTGGCTAATGGCTACACGGGTATCTTCAATACTTGTGTCAATGGGTTTAGGTATTATTTGTGCTTTCATCTGTATAAAGATGGGTAATGCATTCTTAAGCGGTAATGGATAAATTAAAGCGGCTTTCTCCGCAATTCAAAAAAATAAAAATAAAAATAAAAAAAAACGTTCTTTATTTTTTTTATTTTTTCCTTTTTATGGTCCATCATATCATCTTGATGTTGGAGCTTATCTGATGTATATAACCCCCCAAGTGCTCATAATATCTATATTTCTAAGACTAACTTGCTCTCTCTCACAAGAGATACTCAGTAAATCTCAAACGTGTCAAGTTACACCTATTGAACCGGAAATCTATACCAACTTATATACCTATGCTCACCTCATTGATATATCGTATTGCATATCTAATGTGAAACATATAGAAAAGCCCTTCAAGTGCGCTTTAGGTTGTGAATCGCGTTTCCCCAATATGTCTCTTGTTTACCAATGGTCCTTTGATGATTCGGTGACTGGTTATATTGCCAAAACATACGAGAATGTGTTTCGATATGACCAAAGTAAATCAACAAAACCCAAAAAAACAATCATTGTTTCCCTAAGAGGAACACAGTCAGTATTTGACTCCTTTGCCGATATGAAAGTTGATATGACAAACTACAACAACTTGGGCTTACACTTGACATTATGTGGAGAACGTTGTAAAGTACATCGGGGCTTTTATGAGTATTTCAAAACTACTCAAAACCTTATCCATCAGTATATCGAAGAGGAAATGCACAGTTCAAAGCAAGGGTTAGAAGATTATGAGTTGATCATTTTGGGTCATTCATTAGGTGGGAGTGTTGCGTTACTTTTAGGTTTATTCTACCTTGACTTGGGCTATGACAAATTAACTTTGGTAACAATGGGACAGCCCTTGCTTGGCAACTATGAATTTGTAAAATGGACAGATTATGTTCTAGGCAGTCAATACCGACCCCGTCATAACAGTTTTGAGAGGAAATTTCTACGGGTAATACATAAAGATGATGTAATAACAGTCATTCCTAGGGGCCATAGTCCTCTTTATTCCTACCATCAGTTTGACAATCAAGTGTATTTGAATTGTAGCGAACGGAACACTCATCCCACTTTGGAGGAAGTATTGGACTGTTCTAGTGCGAGAGACGAAAACTGCATTTTAAAAGACTTTCCAGATCACCACACAGAGAACAATTACGACTATTTGCAAATTCATATAACGTATTTTAGAAGAATGGGCCTCTGCGGTATTGGTCGATATGAATAACTAATGTATGCATATATATGAAAGAGAAAAAATAAGGCGTGCTTGTTGAGACGTCTCCTACCTGCTGAACCCAAACCGTGGCTGGCCATAATCATCGTCCTCTTCCTCGTCCTCGTCCTCGTCCTCATTTTCTTCTTTTTCTGCATCATCTTGATAGTATTGCATTCTTTTATCAGCTCCATTTGCCTTATGTTGTTCGTTGTTTTTGAATTGTAGAGTGCTGGAAGAGCTATCATTAACAATCTCCTGACTTTTCATACTCTGGAATATCAGCATAGCTTCAGTTTCACTATCATCATCCTCCACAAACAAAACAGAGGGTCGATAACCTTTGACCTCGCTTATTGCTCCATTGAATTCAGAGTCCACTGTTCTCCTATCCTTTTTCTTTTGTTTACTTCCAGGAAAACACAAAGTATCTGCGTTGACCATTTCAATATATGGTCTCTTGCCAACTCCTAATTTGAAGGGTTTATTTTTCTTAAATTTTTTAAAGTTCTTACGTTCTCCACAACTAATATCCATTGCCACGTTTGGATACTGTTTTCGTCTTAATGGAGTATCAACAATTTCAACAATTGCCAAATTCGACAAATCTTGAGATATTTCCTCCCCTTGTTTTTCTGCTATTCCTAGCTCCTTGTTCCAACTCTTGGTTGACTCCTCTTTTGCTTGAACAACTGCGTCGATAAACGAAATTTTGGGAATAAATTTCGCAATTTTTGGAGGCTGCTGGGATGTGAATGACTCGTATTTTCGCTTTCGAAGGTTGATTCCAACTGGTTGCTTCACTGGAGAAATACCCTCACCTTCTTGTGAAGTTTCATTGTTACTCACTTTATTGTCAACTGCTTCTTCTTTTTCATCATCATCATCTTCTTCTTCAATTTCTTCTTCAATTTCTGCTTCTCCTTTTTCTTCTTCTTGAGCTTTATTGATGGAGCTTATTAAATTAACTTCAGGTAGGTCTTGTGGTTCAAGTTGTGTTTCTTTGGTGAATTGACCTTCGAGCTCAAGGTTAGCTAAAGGTTCAGGTTCGTCTTGATGTGTTTGGGATTTATCTTTATCTGCACTTGTACCTGGTGGTTCCTTGGTAATGTTCGATGAGGATGGTATATTATTGAGGGAGAAAAAATGCAACTTGTCTACCTTTTCATACTTTCGTCGTTTGCGTTGACCAATTGCTGAAGCGGCTGATCGTTTCAACTGAGGAATATGATTGACTGGTATTGAGTCTAATGAATTACTCAAAATCTGTTGAAATAAATCATCCTCATTAAGTGCATTAAGTCCAAAAACATCGTGGGAGTTTATGAGTACAAATTTATTGTCCCCTGCTCTTGTCTTGATTTCTTCCTCGGATTTTTCCACAATCTCTGTGTCCATCCATTCAATCTTGTAAAATGATAAAAATAGATGGGTTTGTAAAAAATGGACACGAGACTTCCGTGACAAGGAGTCATTATCAATTTTTAGTATCGTATCGCAATTGTGATGTTCAAGCCAAGCGTCTACATTGTTGGGGTTCGATAGTAAAGTTTTTAACCAACTCTCGCTCAATATGTGTAAACCTTTAATTACTGCTTTTTTAAATGCAATCAGGTTGGAGCTCGTTTTGTTCGTGTAAACGTGAGTTGCCTCATTTATATCAGTCACGACTGAGATACCAATGTTTAACTCGGCTAACTTGTCAATCAATTCATCCTTTGTATCCACATATAATTTAAAGTCGACCCATTCAATTACCAAGGGGTAATCCTTGTAATCGGGGTTTGAGTCTGCCTCGGGTTGAATCACTATTCTCAAACTTTGAGTAAAGTCCAATTTTTTCGGTTTTTCATCCTTTTGCAATCGTACTACCTCTTCGTTGATCTTGGATTTGGCTCGAGACAATATACACAAATGTAATGGAATCTTACCCAGGGCATCTGCTGCAGATCCTATGATCACATCAAGTAGCTCTCGCGACGATTTTCGTGAAGTGAACCTGAAATCAACATCTTCTTTCCTACCGACTTTGTAAATATGCTCAGGAATCAAAATCTTTGTTTCTTAAAAGTTCTAAAGGTTAGTGTGTCAATATCCTTCCATCCTTCCACTTTTTCCCCATTTTTCGAGGGAAAAGGGGGAAGAAGAAGTTTGAAAAAATTGATGAATTTCATACCGCAATCAAGGCCTACCTCTGCCTCGTGTCTTGCCACCCACATGGTAAACACATTTGCTATACGTTAAAGACTAAAGTTAAAAAAATACAAGGCTATTCTATTTGAAGCTTTACCTAATTTATTTTTCGCAACTATTTTTTTTTTATTAATATTGGAGATGAAACGAGTAAACACGATGCTCTGTGAACTCTTTGACATACTGGTGGAGTGTTTGTATGTAGAAACATGAAATAAACTAAGATCTAAGACACTATCAACCTATTTACTCGTTACTCGCTTTGTTGGACTTTGTCCTTGATAGATTTAGTCGATGATTTTTTTATAGACTTGGATTTCTTCTTTTTTTTATCATCACGCAACTTTTTACCAAGTACTTTACCAACAGTTTGAGCATCTGCCAACTCCAATAATGTCTTTTCAAATGCCAGTTCGCCTTTGCTCGTCTTCTCAACTTCTTTATCGCTCGGTGTTTCTTTGAGAACGTCTAAATCCTCGTCGTATAATTTGTCAGTATAGAACAATGGCAATGCTGGCGATGTCACTGTTTTTAACATAATGGTTTTCACTGTATCTATATCAAATGCTGAAACAACATCATTTATATTCTTGACCAAGTCTTCCTTTGAAAATACCGGCGCATCTTTTTCTCCATCGTCATCTCCACTTATATATCCTATCTTGATGGAAATAATTGTTCCCTGTGGCGGCAAGTAATGAGTACTGTGCAAGCACTTTTCTAATTGATTTTTCAAAGTTTGAAGAGAGAGCTCTTTATTATTAGATGACGTAGTGACTCTGATTGGGATCGGTATTTTGTTTGTCTTGTAGAAAACTTTTCCTAGCAATTTGGGCATGGAATTGAGAACTGCATCATCTACTAGGAATAGATCGTACTCAGAGTAAAGCTGACGTCTACTTTCAAACGACTTGTAGTTTGTCTTAATCACACTCACGGGTAAAATGTTTTCAAGAGTATTCAAGCTCGCCTCTTCGATTTTTTCAATATCCCCGTTGCTTTTCACAATTTCGTCACGTACAATCAAACACGTTTTCACGTCGCTCTCGTTATATATAGGTTTAGTGAGCTTAATGGTTTTTGGTTTGAATTGTGGTTTTCCACTGAAAAACTTCTTGGACTCTATTGTAAGATATGCTGTCCTATCACTAGTATCGTCGTCCTCAAACAACTGCAGTTTTCGATCGGAGAGTGTGGATTTACTTCCCTCTCGTAACAAAAATTTTGTCAATTCCGATAAAGCTTTTCTGGAAACTTTTTCAGGAATAACAACACTAGATGGCACATCAGTGGTCGTTACCTCAGAAGAAGGTGCTTTCACCTCTACTTTTTTAGCTGCTTTTTGGGGTTTCGTTACCTTAGAGGAACGTTGAACCTTATCAACCACCGGCGAAGCCGACCCTTTAGATCTGGTTTTGGCCATTGCTTTATGAAGATTGAAAAGTATCTCTGAAATTTCACTAAAGTCTCATCTCATCTCATCTCATCTCATCTCGCGAAACGCTTTAAAAAAATTGTATCCTGCATATAACACCTTAACTTAACTCACCCGCCTACCTACCTACCTACCTAACTAACTCACTAACTAACTAACTCACCGATTAACTACACCAACCGTAATCACCCCTCGTCCATTCGCCTACAGAAAAAGTACCAGAAAACGTTTTCTCTTTCAATATTTTTATGAATAGTATATTTATATATATATATACACTATACACATTTATACACTGCGTCAGTTAATTTTTCTATACATCAAAATATATGCGTTTTTGACGTTTTCATCATTTCCTGAATTTAGAACTTCGTCATCATCAATTTCTTTAACAATTGTATCATCTATTCTCCACCATTTATGCGAGTCAAAATCGTAAATGTCACTCGTGTAATGACCCGCGTCTGCATTCGAACCATGATGATATACCACAGAATTGAGCTGGTACTTGTGCTCATCATTGTGTGTGTTGTTTGTATGGGTTGTTATTGGAGAATGAGCTCTTGGCAATGTGGATAATAACGCACCACCTCCCATTGTCATACTATGTGTCGCAGATAGTATTCTTGAAGGAATGGTCAATGTATGATTGTATGTAACCTTCTTTTTCAACTTTTCAATAGCTACTTCTTGGTTTTTGGAATAACTGAATCTTTTCAAATGAATTATTAAAACCTCCGGTAATTTCGAGATAAACGTTTGTTTTTTAACCTGTATTTCTGTATTGTTGTTGTTTATGTAGGATATATTCTCTAACTCGTTGAGATGTGTAAAAGCATCTTCAATGGAATCCGAATTGGAAATGTCTAGTTGGAAATGCTGAAATGGGTCAAGCGTGATGGATTTTTGAAACGATGAGCCCTTGGGTATCGTGATAACTGACTTAAATTCTCCTCCAAATATCATATTTAATGGTGTTGGTTCTAGTTCGGTTTTGCTGATGTTTTTCTTGCCTCCTACTTGACTCCATTCATTGTCATCCTCCGTCTCATTTTTGGCCCTTTTTATGCAAGTCTTCACATTATACTTGAACTTGGTCAACTCTTGAGCATCTTCTGAGGAATATGACTGTATTAAATGATCAACTTGAGTAGTGTTCAACCTCCGTAAAGCAAAGAGAAACTCTTCGTTTAAGGCATCCAAATAATAGCCTAAAAACTCCTCTGCATCCTCTTGCTGTCCCCACTTCAAATGTGAAAATTTTTTGTGCTTAGTTAATGCAGAATAAAATGTCTCTATCGGTACAGGCGCCTTGGAATTATCGTTAGGCTTAAACTCATTAAATAATTTTATTGTAGCATCAAGTAAAGGTTGCGAGGAAACTATCAAATCTCCAATCGATTTGGTCTCTATTAATTTTAAAAGCTTGTTGAAAGGTTGACAATAAATCATAACTTGAAGTATCGAGTTCATGAAACATATATTGCCCGTATTAGTCAAACCTTTGGGTCTTACATTGAATGTTGGAAAATCGTTGAAGATCGAGTAGTTTGGATCAAACATAATCTTGAGTAGTAGAATTCCCAATGAATATGCTGGTTCGTTTTCAATTTGAAGCTTTCGCCCGTCCTCTACTGTACTTGATGAAGAAGGATCGGGAGAAAGTTTAGTGCAAGAAGATAACGTCGTGTCATTTGTCAATGTAGCCTGAGTCACACCGTTTTTTGGTTTCTGTATTTTTTTGCTTTTTGGTGTGATGGGAGCCGTTGCTTGTAAAAATGATGCCCAATTACTGGTTTGTGGGGGTTGTGGGCTCGATAATAATGTTGCTGTTGTTGTTGTTGTTGCTGCTGTTGTTGTCGCTGCTGCCGATATTGTTTTTTTCTCTTCTTCTTCCTCCTCCTCCTCCTCCTCCTCCTCCTCCTTTGTCTTTGCTGTTTTCAAAGTCGCTTTTGTACTTTGTATGATAATTTTGTTTCCTTGATTTACATCGATAAATTTCGCATAGTTTGCACTGATGATAAACGTTTCGGATTTCCCAAAAAGCTCATCCAACATGTTTGACTTGGAAATCACGTCTACGACACGGGACTGTTCTATTAAAGGAAAATCGTTTAAAAAGTCGTCTTGTTGAGTATTTATATATATTGGCAACGATTCTTTGGGTTTTTTCTTGATTATTTGTTCGGTCGTAATTTCCTTTTCAAAAGTATTAGTTTCATTATCATTATCAATGACTATGGGAGTTGTTGTTTTTGTTGTTGTTTTTGTTGTTGCTTTTGTTGTTGCTTTTGTTGTTGTTGTATCATAACCATTCAAATCTGACGAGATTGGTTTTTGCGTACTTGCAACAGGAGAAAGCATACTTGGACTCCGCTGCTCCAGTTGCGGCTGCATTGTGTCAGATGCATTTGAGATTATCTTATTTTGATGCAGATTTTGCAGGTGTTGCAACGATTTTCGATGTTGAGGTAAAGATTCTAGAGAATTATTTGACTGTAGATCCTGCTGCTGCTGCTGTTGTTGTTGTTGCTGTTGATGGTGCTGCTGCTGCTGTTGATGGTGCTGCTGCTGCTGCTGCTGCTGTTGTTGATGTTGTTGTTGTTGATGGTGCTGCTGCTGCTGCTGATGGTGGTGCTGTTGTTGTTGGCGGATTTGGTGTTTTGTGGGTTTATTAATAGGTTGATGTATGGTCGAAAACAGCGGGTGTGGGATGGAATGTGGGACTGGTTGAAGATGGGGCTGTGGGGCTGCAAATGAGGGCTGTATCATGTAAGGTTGCAGGCCTTGCGGCAGGTACACCTCCTGTGGATATGGCAAGTATGTGTACATGGGATTTATCAACATCGGATAGCTATAATTCCCGTTACTATACAGCATGTAGTACTGTTGCGGTGTAAGTTGTTGTGGCGTAAGCTGATGGTGCTGGTGCTGGTGCTGGTGCTGGTGCTGTTGTGGCAAATGAGGATGGGTATAGGGTTGTTGTTGAATTGGCTGATAATAGTGACGAGGTGAAAAACTTACTGCATCACCTCTAAAGCGCAGTGAGCCGCCATTTGATGTATTATTTGCTGGTGTAGAAGTAGTAGTCTGTGTTGAGGATGGGGGTGCTGACATAAATAAAAGAATTTTTTCTGTATGCTTCAAAGTGGAAGTTGGATGTCTAGCTTAAAACATGAAATTTGAACATGGGATGAAGAAGAACTCTTTGAAATAAATGATCCTTTTACTCCCCCCTAAATTGTTGTTACTGGGAAACTTTTGTATACCTAAATGTGAAATATAGAAATTCAAGCAATCACACTGTAATAATCAGACCCGTGTGCCTTGGTAACTAGAGCTGATATTGGAAACTGGAAACTGGAAACTTGTTTTCTTCTAGGGGAAAGATATGAATGGAATGGCCTATTGGGGAATCGTGCTTGAATTCAATTCGAGCGAAAAAAAAAAAAAAAAAAAAAAAAAAAAATTTCACCAAAAAAAAAAAAAAAAATTTTTTCCCCNAAAAAAAATAAAAAAAAAAAAAAAAAAAAAAAAAAAAAAAAAAAAAAAAAAAAAAAAATTTCAGCAAAAAAAGAAAAAAAAATTTGTTCTCCTGATTTCCGAAATAGCTGCTACCAAACGGAGGAGGGATAACAGAAGGGATAATAGAAAGGGGAGAAAAGGCAGGGGAGAAAGGGCAGGGAAGAAAAGACAGAAGAGAAAGGGAAGATAGGAATAAAAGTAGAGACGAGGTAAAGCAAAGGATGGAACGATAAAGTAAAGAAAAATAAAGCAAGGTAAAAATAGGTAAAAATAGGTAAAAATAGGTAAAAATAGGTAAAGAAAAGTATTAGATAAATAAAGATAGGTTAGATAAAGGAGGTACAGCTAACCTATCTTAGGTATAGGAGGTAACGGAGGTAAAGGAGTGTTGGGAGTGTTGGGTTACTCTATTATTTTTTCGTAGTTTTTATAATTATAAATCACTATAAAAATAGCTAATAAATGGCGACATATTGAAATAGGAAGAAATTGATTACATGGCAGTTTAAACAATATTTGCCATAGTAAATTATTTTGACTTTTTTCATTAAAGGAAATAACTTTTAAATTTGATTTACAAAGTAGTTGACTATTATCATTAAGTTTCTGGGTAAATTCACGACAATCACAATACCAATTGTCAAGATCAACGTGGTATTCTTCTTCTTCTTCTTTTTCTTCTATTATCCCCAAACTTGGCTGCTTTTTTTTATCGGTTTTTAGTAATGGACTAAATTTCCCATCCTTCCACTCGTATCCGAGTTTGGCCAATAAAGCATGGATATTTCTCTTCTCTTTTTTCGCTATTAATTTGATTATGTGTAAACTTTCTTGCTGCTGCTGTTGCTGCTTATTAGTAGTATATTTTTGAAAATCTACATCACCTTCAATTTCCATTGCAAAAACCCACTCCAAAGCTTGAAAAACTACTTCTCCTAGTAGCATTGAGAGCAATAACAATTTATTACGATTTACAGAAACTAGTTGTTGCAGCTCGTTTATTTTCAAAATGTCGAATTGATTCAACATATGCTCGTTATCCTTTGACCCTTCTCTTACCACCTCTCCCAATAAATCCGTCTCTAATAGCCCCTTCAAGCTTGCATCCAATATCTCAATGGTCAAAAGACCAGCATCATCGTTTTGCATTTGAACCAACTCGCTTGTAATGAAAAATAAAGAAAACGAAAAGAATCAACGAAAAAAAAAAAATCCTGGTGAGAATATACCCATAGTAGAGCCCGCTTTTTATATGGATTGGATATCGCATATTCCCCGAGATTTGCAGGAGCGGGTGCATGAGACTATACAGAAAGAACCTTCGAGTCAACAGGTATTTACGGACTTGTACACATTTTTAGTGGAAGACTCAAACAAACGAAGGAAGCTTCATAGTAGTAATGGCCAACAACAACAACAACAAGAAGAAGAAGATAATGAAGAATCTGGCTTTGAGGAAACCGCTGGTTCTGCCTTTGAAGAACTCGAGCCTTCGTCATCTGTGCATCCAGACTCGGTTATTTTCGATATACAGCAAATCTCATTCGCATCACCATTACGAAAGAGAATGAACTTGACTTTTCATTTGATAGAACAGAATGGGCAAGCCGTTCCCATCTTGTCAATAGTGAACCCGGCTAATGACTCACCGGAAATTTCTTTTATAAACTTACGACAAGCCGTGAAATTGTGTGTTATATTGCCAATATTGGGTAATTCTACCAATGCTCAAAAAAAGGGTGTTTCGTTGCTATGTTTCTGGATGCACGAACTGTACTACACCGACTCTAATGTTTCCAAAGATCCAGTTATATGTCAGTTAAATTTGGACGCAATAAAGAAACAGATGATTAAGAATGGAAAACTACCAGCGGATATTGAAAATCAATTCGACGTGTCGAGCTATAAAAACGATGTAGTACTCAACCCTATTCAAGAGAGAATAATTGATTATTTCAAGAGGCAATTCAAATTATGCGGAATCAACTTGATCAGCTACTTGCCATCTAACACTATATTTAAAAACAGGTTTATTGTTAATGAGGATACTGCGATTGCAATTACATCTGGCAATTCCACGTCACCTTCGATAATTATGGTTGAGTGCCATAAAGGTGCCCGGGATGGTAATTTGATTTTCTTAGAACAAAACGAACACAATCCAGCATATTTGATTTTTGCATTTAAGAAGCCCATCTTGGTTTTTGGAATGTCAAAAGTTTTAAAAGCCAGTTACACAAGTATAACCAAACACACTTTCAGCTTGAACGTTGTTGTTTTGAATGATAGGGATGAAGAAAGACCAATTGAGTTTAGCATGATTGATCAGGCGTACTTTCAATTGATTGATGAGTTTATGAGATCCCACGGAATAAGTGATGATTCCTATAACGATGACAATAAGGAAAAAATTGATACCAAAAACAATAATGGTGGAAGCACTGCTAACGTGGCAGGAGAAGCAGGCGCTGCTGCAATAGGTGCTGGTGGTGGTGATGAAGAAGACGACGAGGACGAGGACGATGGCGATTTTGAAGGAGGTAATGAGATTGAGAGCGATGTGGCCGAAGAATACGATAGTGCTTTGGAAAGTGTTCAAGAAGACCAAGGAGCTACTGACGACGATGTATTTACGAAATCTAAAGAGGAATAATAAAGTATAAAAAAAAAAAAAAAAAAGGACCAAAAAACTTGATAAATCTCTGTTTATTATTCTGAAATGTCTGTAACAAAAGAGAAGAAAGGGAGATATCCTCGAATAATTACTATTTACTTGTAGGGCTGGCCATATTGTTCAAACAATTGAAAGAACTTGCCTCTATCATTTGATGTAAATAACCTGTTTTTCAAGTCCTTGGTACTTACCAAGTCCTCTTTTCTTTGTCTTTGCTCTCGCAACATTATCAATCTTCGTTCTAATAGCTCTCTACTGTGAGTCATTTGTGGATCGTATATGAAATAGTAAATTGCCGATGTTATACTCATTGCAGTAGCGTATCCAATTACCTTTTGTGACAATTTTGACGGAGAGCCACTAAGTCCGACTTGGAAAAGTCTTATAGCAGCTCCCGTGACTAAGCTAAAGGCAAAACCACCAGTCGTAGGCATCGTGTGTCAACTTATATGGGTGTTATTATACAATTTTTCAAACGAACCTTGTCTTTGAACTTGCTCTAATGTTTTTTTTTCTACAGTCAATTTAATTGGTGTGAATAAAAAGAGTGTGTGTATAAAGAAAAGAAAAAAGACATCTACATATACATAACGAGTGGTAGCACCTTGGGAGAGACTTGGATACTAGGTAGACATTTGAGTATCCCAATTTATGGGTATAAATAGAGACAAGGTTCTTTGAGAAATCAATTACCGAGGGAGGAAGGAGGAGAGAGAGAGAGAGAGAGGAGAGGCTGGACTTTGCGTAGCGAACGGTGTAATGGGCGTAGTGTCCCCCTTCTTTGACCATCGCCATTTTAGGTTTCCTTCTTTTTTTTTCTTTTTCCTTTTAGCAATTCCGCTTTTGGAAATTTTGAATTTTCCATTTTGCAATAAGTACAATGGAATTTTTCAAAACTGTGGGGCAGATGAAGCAAGATAAGAAGAAGAAAACACTTTTGCTCGATAGTGTCGATAGTGTCGATAGTGTCGCATTACTCGTACAAACTATAATAGTGTCGCACCACTCATCGAACTTTAATAGTGTTGGTCAGTGTGCTCCACTATCTCGCTCTGCTCGATAAGTGTCGTGTTTCCTCTAATGTCGATCAATTTCTTCAAGGGCCATCCCACGAGGTCATTATTACCAGCAAAAGAGATTGCCCACTCTTACAATAAAGTATTGCTTGAATCAAATTATTTGGCTTATGATACGGACTACGATAACCAGCATCCATTGGCTTATGGTACTGATCCGGGTAATCTTGAAGTACGAGACGTTATTGCCTCTTGGGTGAACAAGAAATTTAACATTCATTCAACTAGAGGTGACTTGATCAACTTGACATCTGGAGCTTCTTACGGAATTGCAAATCTCCTCACATCGGTGACTTCTCTTGCAATAACACGTAGGGCATTCATTGTGACTCCAACATATTTTTTAATCAATAATGCATTCGTTGACGTTGGGTTGGGGGACAGGCTAACTGCGATCAATGAAACAGCTGGTGATGAATATGAGATTGACTTGAATGCATTGGAAAAGGAATTGATCAAATACTCGAGTGATTTGGAGCAAATCTCAGAAAACATGACTATCACAAACGATCCAAGAGGAGAGCGCAAGCTCTACCTGTTTGTGCTATACCTTGTACCAACATTTTCAAATCCAGGAGGTACCACATATTCTCTTAAAACAAGGTTGAAGTTGCTAGAGCTCGCAAGGAAATTCGACTTGCTTATTATTAGCGATGATGTTTATGAGTATTTGGATTACTCTAATGATGATGATGGTGCAGTAACATCTGTACATGTGCCGATTCCCAAGATCTCTCAACTTGACCAACAAACCGTGCGCAACAAATATGGAAACTCAATTTCAAATGCAACTTTTTCCAAAATCATAGCCCCCGGATTGAGATGTGGATGGCAGGAATCAGCTACTCCGGCATTAGTTCAACAATTGAGTGTAACTGGTGCCAACAAATCGGGAGGCACGCCAGCACAATTAGCGACACTAGTAGTTGCAGAGATGATAAAAACTGGGGAATTAGATACGATAATAGAAAATTTTGTTTCTGTTTATAAGGAAAGAGCTCATGTTTTGAAGCTCTGTGTGGAAAAGTATTTACCAGAGAATACAAAAGTATATGGAGGAGATGGAGGATATTTTTTTTGGATCGAGTTGCCTCATAATGTAGATAATCAATCAGTAATTCACGAATTGGCCAAGAAAGGTGTCATTCTTGCTGGTGGTGAGAATTTCGAGGTTTACGGAGATAAAAGAGGATGGGGTGACCATTGTGTTCGATTAAGCATAAGTTATTTGACAACCGACGAAATCCAACGTGGGATTAAACAATGGGGTGAGACTATTACAGAAGTTGGAAAATTGACCAAATCTTGAATCACTTTTCTTTCTTCCTATCTATTTATCTATCTTTTTTTCTTGTTGGTCAATCGGATCTGTAGCATGTGTTCTACGAAAGATTCAATTTTGAACAAGTTACTTTTTGAAATTTCCCTTTTAAAAAAAAAAAAAAAAAAAAAAAAAAAAACAGTAGTAATATTTTGCAGCCATTTCTTTCTTTTTTTTTTTAATTAAAAAGTAAAATTGATGTTTTTGCGTCTTTATTTCAACCACAAGCCTCAATAATGGTTAGAGATTGGGCGATAAGATTCAAAGCGATTCAGCTCTCAGGGCTATCGACGATTTCGTATGTTTTTGATTTTGTATTTTATTCAACAATCTTAGCTCTCTCTGTACTGCTAGGACGAATTATTCCTCCGAGATTTCATGAGTTTCTGATTTATGATATTTCGATAAGGTACACTTATATTGAACAAGTTACTGTACCAGTTTGGTTGCTTGTGCTTATTTCTGCCGGTATTCCCTCCGTACAGTTTATAATATTTGCTATTATCACCAAACGTGCCTCGTTTAAGAGGAGGTTATGGGATATTTTTGCAGGGAATTTATGTTTATTAGGGGCCCAAGCTACACAAATCTGGACTGTTGTTTTGTTGAAAAATATAACCGGTTTACCTCGACCCGATGTTATTGACAGATGCGAGCCAATGGTGCAGAATATTCCTTTAACTCAACTATCAAATGTTTCTATTTGTACCCAACCGAATTGGAATATAGTCATGGAAGGATTCAGATCTTTTCCAAGTGGGCATGCATCAACCGTATACTGTGGCATGATTATTACTTCGTTGAATTTCGCTGCTCACTTACAAGCTTTTGACCAAAGAAACAATTCATTCAAAGTGTTTTTAACTATAGTGCCCTTATTAGGCGCTGCATTCGTAGCTAGTACTAGAGTGAGTGATAATCGACACTATTTAAGGGACGTTATAGCTGGGTCTATAATTGGTACGTTTGTTGGTTTAGCATATTACCATCAATACCATCCTAGTGTATTTAATTTGAGGAATAAAGGAAGGGCTTTCCCACCAAGGAGATTTGGCATTAATAGATTTCTAAGAAATATTGGAGGTTTTTGGTCATTTGGAAGAGGTGATCAAGATATTGATATGGAAGCAGTTGAAGCAAGAGCTATGAATAATGACGATGTAGAAAAACGATTACCATTGAATGAGAATGGAGATTCTACACAAGTGAACAACTTGAGTGATAATATTAAATATGTCAATGCAATGTTATAGGTAGAAAAATAAAAGGACAAAAAAGAAAATCACAAATAACAGTGTTTTCTTTTCTTTTCTTTTCTTTTCTTTTCTTTTCTTTTCTTTTCTTTTCTTTCCCCCCCCCCCCCCCCCCCCCCCCCC